AAAAAAAAAAAAAAAAAAAAAAAAAAAAAAAAAAAAAAAAAAAAAAAAAAAAAAAAAAAAAAAAAAAAAAAAAAAAAAAAAAAAAAAAAAAAAAAAAAAAAAAAAAAAAAAAAAAAAAAAAAAAAAAAAAAAAAAAAAAAAAAAAAAAAAAAAAAAAAAAAAAAAAAAAAAAAAAAAAAAAAAAAAAAAAAAAAAAAAAAAAAAAAAAAAAAAAAAAAAAAAAAAAATAAAAAAAAAAAAAAAAAAAAAAAAAAAAAAAAAAAAAAAAAAAAAAAAAAAAAAAAAAAAAAAAAAAAAAAAAAAAAAAAAAAAAAAAAAAAAAAAAAAAAAAAAAAAAAAAAAAAAAAAAAAAAAAAAAAAAAAAAAAAAAAAAAAAAAAAAAAAAAAAAAAAAAAAAAAAAAAAAAAAAAAAAAAAAAAAAAAAAAAAAAAAAAAAAAAAAAAAAAAAAAAAAAAAAAAAAAAAAAAAAAAAAAAAAAAAAAAAAAAAAAAAAAAAAAAAAAAAAAAAAAAAAAAAAAAAAAAAAAAAAAAAAAAAAAAAAAAAAAAAAAAAAAAAAAAAAAAAAAAAAAAAAAAAAAAAAAAAAAAAAAAAAAAAAAAAAAAAAAAAAAAAAAAAAAAAAAAAAAAAAAAAAAAAAAAAAAAAAAAAAAAAAAAAAAAAAAAAAAAAAAAAAAAAAAAAAAAAAAAAAAAAAAAAAAAAAAAAAAAAAAAAAAAAAAAAAAAAAAAAAAAAAAAAAAAAAAAAAAAAAAAAAAAAAAAAAAAAAAAAAAAAAAAAAAAAAAAAAAAAAAAAAAAAAAAAAAAATTTTAATTTAAAAAAAAAAAAAAAAAAAAAAAAAAAAAAAAAAAAAAAAAAAAAAAAAAAAAAAAAAAAAAAAAAAAAAAAAAAAAAAAAAAAAAAAAAAAAAAAAAAAAAAAAAAAAAAAAAAAAAAAAAAAAAAAAAAAAAAAAAAAAAAAAAAAAAAAAAAAAAAAAAAAAAAAAAAAAAAAAAAAAAAAAAAAAAAAAAAAAAAAAAAAAAAAAAAAAAAAAAAAAAAAAAAAAAAAAAAAAAAAAAAAAAAAAAAAAAAAAAAAAAAAAAAAAAAAAAAAAAAAAAAAAAAAAAAAAAAAAAAAAAAAAAAAAAAAAAAAAAAAAAAAAAAAAAAAAAAAAAAAAAAAAAAAAAAAAAAAAAAAAAAAAAAAAAAAAAAAAAAAAAAAAAAAAAAAAAAAAAAAAAAAAAAAAAAAAAAAAAAAAAAAAAAAAAAAAAAAAAAAAAAAAAAAAAAAAAAAAAAAAAAAAAAAAAAAAAAAAAAAAAAAAAAAAAAAAAAAAAAAAAAAAAAAAAAAAAAAAAAAAAAAAAAAAAAAAAAAAAAAAAAAAAAAAAAAAAAAAAAAAAAAAAAAAAAAAAAAAAAAAAAAAAAAAAAAAAAAAAAAAAAAAAAAAAAAAAAAAAAAAAAAAAAAAAAAAAAAAAAAAAAAAAAAAAAAAAAAAAAAAAAAAAAAAAAAAAAAAAAAAAAAAAAAAAAAAAAAAAAAAAAAAAAAAAAAAAAAAAAAAAAAAAAAAAAAAAAAAAAAAAAAAAAAAAAAAAAAAAAAAAAAAAAAAAAAAAAAAAAAAAAAAAAAAAAAAAAAAAAAAAAAAAAAAAAAAAAAAAAAAAAAAAAAAAAAAAAAAAAAAAAAAAAAAAAAAAAAAAAAAAAAAAAAAAAAAAAAAAAAAAAAAAAAAAAAAAAAAAAAAAAAAAAAAAAAAAAAAAAAAAAAAAAAAAAAAAAAAAAAAAAAAAAAAAAAAAAAAAAAAAAAAAAAAAAAAAAAAAAAAAAAAAAAAAAAAAAAAAAAAAAAAAAAAAAAAAAAAAAAAAAAAAAAAAAAAAAAAAAAAAAAAAAAAAAAAAAAAAAAAAAAAAAAAAAAAAAAAAAAAAAAAAAAAAAAAAAAAAAAAAAAAAAAAAAAAAAAAAAAAAAAAAAAAAAAAAAAAAAAAAAAAAAAAAAAAAAAAAAAAAAAAAAAAAAAAAAAAAAAAAAAAAAAAAAAAAAAAAAAAAAAAAAAAAAAAAAAAAAAAAAAAAAAAAAAAAAAAAAAAAAAAAAAAAAAAAAAAAAAAAAAAAAAAAAAAAAAAAAAAAAAAAAAAAAAAAAAAAAAAAAAAAAAAAAAAAAAAAAAAAAAAAAAAAAAAAAAAAAAAAAAAAAAAAAAAAAAAAAAAAAAAAAAAAAAAAAAAAAAAAAAAAAAAAAAAAAAAAAAAAAAAAAAAAAAAAAAAAAAAAAAAAAAAAAAAAAAAAAAAAAAAAAAAAAAAAAAAAAAAAAAAAAAAAAAAAAAAAAAAAAAAAAAAAAAAAAAAAAAAAAAAAAAAAAAAAAAAAAAAAAAAAAAAAAAAAAAAAAAAAAAAAAAAAAAAAAAAAAAAAAAAAAAAAAAAAAAAAAAAAAAAAAAAAAAAAAAAAAAAAAAAAAAAAAAAAAAAAAAAAAAAAAAAAAAAAAAAAAAAAAAAAAAAAAAAAAAAAAAAAAAAAAAAAAAAAAAAAAAAAAAAAAAAAAAAAAAAAAAAAAAAAAAAAAAAAAAAAAAAAAAAAAAAAAAAAAAAAAAAAAAAAAAAAAAAAAAAAAAAAAAAAAAAAAAAAAAAAAAAAAAAAAAAAAAAAAAAAAAAAAAAAAAAAAAAAAAAAAAAAAAAAAAAAAAAAAAAAAAAAAAAAAAAAAAAAAAAAAAAAAAAAAAAAAAAAAAAAAAAAAAAAAAAAAAAAAAAAAAAAAAAAAAAAAAAAAAAAAAAAAAAAAAAAAAAAAAAAAAAAAAAAAAAAAAAAAAAAAAAAAAAAAAAAAAAAAAAAAAAAAAAAAAAAAAAAAAAAAAAAAAAAAAAAAAAAAAAAAAAAAAAAAAAAAAAAAAAAAAAAAAAAAAAAAAAAAAAAAAAAAAAAAAAAAAAAAAAAAAAAAAAAAAAAAAAAAAAAAAAAAAAAAAAAAAAAAAAAAAAAAAAAAAAAAAAAAAAAAAAAAAAAAAAAAAAAAAAAAAAAAAAAAAAAAAAAAAAAAAAAAAAAAAAAAAAAAAAAAAAAAAAAAAAAAAAAAAAAAAAAAAAAAAAAAAAAAAAAAAAAAAAAAAAAAAAAAAAAAAAAAAAAAAAAAAAAAAAAAAAAAAAAAAAAAAAAAAAAAAAAAAAAAAAAAAAAAAAAAAAAAAAAAAAAAAAAAAAAAAAAAAAAAAAAAAAAAAAAAAAAAAAAAAAAAAAAAAAAAAAAAAAAAAAAAAAAAAAAAAAAAAAAAAAAAAAAAAAAAAAAAAAAAAAAAAAAAAAAAAAAAAAAAAAAAATAAAAAAAAAAAAAAAAAAAAAAAAAAAAAAAAAAAAAAAAAAAAAAAAAAAAAAAAAAAAAAAAAAAAAAAAAAAAAAAAAAAAAAAAAAAAAAAAAAAAAAAAAAAAAAAAAAAAAAAAAAAAAAAAAAAAAAAAAAAAAAAAAAAAAAAAAAAAAAAAAAAAAAAAAAAAAAAAAAAAAAAAAAAAAAAAAAAAAAAAAAAAAAAAAAAAAAAAAAAAAAAAAAAAAAAAAAAAAAAAAAAAAAAAAAAAAAAAAAAAAAAAAAAAAAAAAAAAAAAAAAAAAAAAAAAAAAAAAAAAAAAAAAAAAAAAAAAAAAAAAAAAAAAAAAAAAAAAAAAAAAAAAAAAAAAAAAAAAAAAAAAAAAAAAAAAAAAAAAAAAAAAAAAAAAAAAAAAAAAAAAAAAAAAAAAAAAAAAAAAAAAAAAAAAAAAAAAAAAAAAAAAAAAAAAAAAAAAAAAAAAAAAAAAAAAAAAAAAAAAAAAAAAAAAAAAAAAAAAAAAAAAAAAAAAAAAAAAAAAAAAAAAAAAAAAAAAAAAAAAAAAAAAAAAAAAAAAAAAAAAAAAAAAAAAAAAAAAAAAAAAAAAAAAAAAAAAAAAAAAAAAAAAAAAAAAACCCAAAAAAAAAAAAAAAAAAAAAAAAAAAAAAAAAAAAAAAAAAAAAAAAAAAAAAAAAAAAAAAAAAAAAAAAAAAAAAAAAAAAAAAAAAAAAAAAAAAAAAAAAAAAAAAAAAAAAAAAAAAAAAAAAAAAAAAAAAAAAAAAAAAAAAAATATATATATATATAATACAACACAGTTAGGTCCATATATATTTGGACACAGGCACAATTTTAGATTTTTTCATGTATTTACCAAAACATTCAAGCTCTAGTTTCTATAATGAAATGGGCTGAAAGTGCACACTCTCAGGTGTAATTTGAGGGTATGTACATCCAAATTGGAGGAAGGGTTTAGGAATTACAGCTCTTAAGAGTAGCCATCCCCCCTAAATAAATCAGGGAACCACCAATAGTAATTGGACAATTGAAACCAAAAAACCTTAGATTGTGACTGATGTGAATGTAGAATATATATATGTAAAGTGCTGCGTAAATAAATGAAAGCGCTATATTAAGTAACCTGAAATAGATAAATTATAGATAGATAGATAGATAGATAGATAGATAGATAGATAGATAGATATACACACACACTGCATGTTGAAATGTGATTTTTATATATTACAAAATATATGAAAAATATTTTTAAAAAATATATATTTTTTAAAAAAATATGTTCTTCAGATTTTTATTAACATATAAAAAAGTCATTTTAACATATATTTTTACATATATTTGTAAATGCATTCCAAAGATGTAGATTAAATTTACTTTTAAAGACATACAGTATATTTGAAAATGTATGTATAGAAATATTATTTTAAATATATTGAATACAGCCAAAACTCTATGTCAATATATTTGGGAAGAATATTTTTAAAATATATTTAAAAATATATTTTCTTCTATGTGAGACTGATCACTGTATTGGTGCTCTGACAACACCAATTACAGCAATTACAGAGCAATACAAAGCAGCAATATCTCCTAGTAGAACACATACAGTTAACCCTTTGTTTGCCCCACATGTTAACCCCTATATACCAAAAGAAAGCTCTATTTGTGGGGAAAAAAGGACATAAATTTCATTTAGGTGCAGTGTTGCATGACCGCACAATTGTCATTTAACCGCTTAAAGGACCGCCCTATAGCAGATATACTGCTACAGGGCGGCACCTGTGCGCAGAATCATGTATATATACGTGATTTCGCATTTTCGGGTAGGAGGCATGCGCAAGCCGTGCATGCGCCTTACCCGTGCCGCCATTCACGGCTGCGGATGTCAATCACCGGGTCTCGCCTGGTAATTACCCGCCAGAGCCTGGTGATTACTGAACATCTCTGACGGGCAGGAATACAGCTTCTCCATTCTGTGAGATCTCCGATGTGAAACAAGCTCTGATTTCCATTGATAACACTTCCCACACTCAGGGCAGGAAAACCGTTTTTCCTGTGTGTGGCGTCTCTGATGTACAGTAACGCTGGACTTCTGTGAAAAACATTTCCCGCACTCAGGACAGGAATACGGCTTCTCACCCGTGTGAGACCTCTGATGTCTGTTAAGGACTGATTTCTGTGAAAAACATTTCCCGCACTTAGTGCAGGAATACAGTTTCTCCCCTCTGTGAGACATTCGATTGATGTATAACAAGGTCTGATTTTTTGTGAAAAACATTTCCCGCACTCAGAACAAGAAAAGAGCTTCTCTCCTGTGTGAGATCTCTGATGTGTGTAAAGATGGGAGACCTGTGAAAAAGATTTTCCACACTCAGGGCAGGAATATGGCTTTTCACCTGTGTGAGATCTCTGATGTATAACAAGGTCAGATTTCTGTGCAAAACATTTCCCGCACTTAGGGCAGGAATATGGCCTCTCCCCTCTGTGAGATCGCTGATGTCTAACAAGGTCTGATTTCTGTGAAAAAACATTTCCTGCACTCAGGACACGAGTAAGGCTTTTCTCCTGTGTGTGAATCCTCTGATGTCTGTAAAGACTAGACTTCTCTGAAAAACATTTCCCACACTCGGGACAGGGATACGGCTTCTCGCCTGTGTGAGATCTTTGATGTATAACAAGGTCTGATTTTTGTGAGAAACATTTCCCGCACTCAGGACAGGGATACGGCTTCTCGCCTGTGTGTGCCCTCTGATGTGTGTAAAAATGGGATAACTGTGAAAAAGATCTTCCACAGTCGGGGCTGGAATACAGTTTTTCACCTGTATGAGATCTTTGATGTATAACAAGGTCTGGGTTCTGTGAAAAACCTTTCCCGCACATAGGGCAGGAAAAGGGCTTCTCCTTTCTGTGAGATCTTTGATGTCTAACAAGGTCTGATTTCTGTAAAAAGCATTTCCCGCACTCAGGACAGGAATACGGCTTCTCCCCCGTGTGAATCCTCTGATGTCTGTAAAAACTGTACTTCTCTGAAAAAAAACATTTCCCGCACTCAGAACAGCAATACAGCTTTTTGCCTTTGTGGAAGCTCTGATGTACAGTAAGACTTAATTCAGAGTCAAAACTTTCCTCACATTCAGGATAGGAAAGTTTCTCCTCCCCCTGAATTCCGGCCCCATCCCTCACAGTACAAGGTTGCTCGGAGTCAGAGGCATTCGATGGTCCATCCACACTGTGAAGTCCACCATCCATAGTGGAGCTCACTGTCCTTTCTCCGGCACAATCTCTTGTGATCTCCTCATCTTCCAGTTTACATCCTGGAGATAAAGTGAGACGATCCTTTGAGGGTTTCTTGATGACATGTCCTGGAAATATAAAAACATGATCAATAGATATGAGAGGATTAGTTCACTTAAATCAAGATTCCATCTGGATCAAGTAGATTTGGGTGAGCAGATGTTCTCTGTAGACATCCCAACCAGCTGTGACTTCCCCTCTTCAGTAAAAGGTCCTTTGGTCCTCCCCCCAGATCACTTCTACATGTCCCCAGCCTTGCCAGAAGAGCAGGAACCAATAGGGACTGGGGGAGGGACATGCTCTTCACACAACCACAAGGCTAGGCACTGGGTCTGGTAATGAAGAGGTTCAAATTTCAGACCTGAAGACCATTCAGCAAAGAAAAAGTGACCATAGGCCTAGGCTTCTGGTAAAATGGAACCAACCTCAGAAGGGCACAATCTGTGTTATATCTGTGCTACTGGTGGATGTCACTCATCTCCCGCCCTACTCTGGACCAATCAGTGAGCAGTAACAGAGCAGAGATAACAGAAGAATATATTGTGGCTCACCTGTGCTGATCTCTGTAGGAGTGTCCTCCTCTTTGAATGTCCTCATCATTCCAGCCTCCTCCGTATATTGCTGATCATCCCCTCACATACGTCTCTTCTACTTCACCCTCAACTTTCATCTTCATCAGATCTTCACCCTAAACCAACAGAATGGCAGAAATAACATCTGTAATATAGAAGGATTTATGATGTGAGATCACATAGAAAATATCATCTTGTAGAGTCCACACATCGTCTCCACATGTCAGAGTGTTCCATCACTTTATGTTCCAGACCCTCAACTCCACCAACCTGATGATGGTGAGGGATGGTGTGACCTTCCTGTGTGGAATTCCGGGAATACAGAGGACGGGGACATCTCTCTGGTGGGTTCCTGTAGCTGGATGACTCCACCATGGTGTCCTGGTACAGATCTTTGTGTTCTTTTAGAAGCTCTGACTCCTCCATCCCCCCATCCTCGTCATCCTCCTCTTTTATCTCTTCTTTAACCTCAACTTTAGGATCTCTCAGGTTTCCACTCTGAATATATAATAAAAATGACATCAATGGTAACAATGCAGATAATGTACAGATCCTAATGATACTATCAGTGATTGTTCCTCATCTACCTGATGATGGTGAGGGATGGTGTGACCTTCCTGTGTGGAATCCCGGGAATACAGAGGACGGGGACATCTCTCTGGTGGGTTCCCATGACTGGATCCATCTGTAGGAAACACACACACTGACTGAATCCATTGTTTCTATGTTTTTTATCAGATGATGGAGGATCTAGGTGGATCCTCCGTACTGCTCTCTCCTTTACAATAAAGTCTCCTCTTACCCGGTGATGTGAGGGGCGGCTGATTGTCCATCATGACGTCCTTGTAGAGATCCTTGTGTCCTTCTAAATACTCCCACTCCTCCATGGAGAAATAGACAGTGACACCCTGACACCTTATAGGAACCTGACACACACAATGATACAGTCACCATCCAGACACATCCCTTGTCTGTTACTGGAGAATGTCCCAGAATTCCCGGCACCGCTCACCTCTCCTGTCAGCAGCTCCATCATCTTCTTGGTGACTTCTACAATCTTCTCCATGTTGTGTCTCTCAGGGTTTAGGGAGTCACATGGAGGCACTGTGATGGTCATATGATCACCTGACTTCAGAAGAGGAAATCTCTGTATTGAGGAACCAATATGAATATCATGTTAGAATCCCAGAATCCTCACCTCACCTCTCCGGTCAGGTCTGTGTTATTAATAAAGATAAGAGTGATGTCATGTGACCTCCCAGAATCCTCCTCACCTCTCCGGTCAGGTCTGTGTGTTATTAATAGAGATGAGAGTGATGTCATGTGACCTCCCAGAATCCTCCTCACCTCTCCGGTCAGGTCTGTGTTTTATTAATAGAGATAAGAGTGATGTCATGTGACCTCCCAGAAGCCTCCTCACCTCTCCGGTCAGGTCTGTGTTTTATTAATAGAGAGAAGAGTGATGTCATGTGACCTCCCAGAATCCTCCTCACCTCTCCGGTCAGGTCTGTATTTTATTAATAGAGATAAGAGTGCTGTCATGTGACCTCCCAGAATCCTCCTCACCTCTCCGGTCAGGTCTGTGTTTTATTAATAGAGATAAGAGTGATGTCATGTGACCTCCCACAACCCTCCTCACCTCTCCGGTCAGGTCTGTGTTTTATTAATAGAGAGAAGAGTGATGTCATCTGACCTCCCAGAATCCTCCTCACCTCTCCGGTCAGGTCTGTATTTTTAATAATAGAGATAAGAGTGATGTCATGTGACCTCCCAGAATCCTCCTCACCTCTCCGGTCAGGTCTGTATTTTATTAATAGAGATAAGAGTGATGTCATGTGACCTCCCAGAATCCTCCTCACCTCTCCGGTCAGCAGGTAGATGATCTCCAGGGTGAGGTTTAGTATCCTCTCAGTCATGTGACTCCAGTCCTCCTCCATCCTCATTGATGCAGTCATGTGATCTATGGGGGTCGCTCTGTAGACAGATAGCGGAGAATTATCTGGACGGTATTGATTTTTTTTATTACAAAATATATGAAAAATATTTTTAAAATACATTTCAAATATGCTGTATGTCTTTAAAAATAAAAATCTAAATTTTTGGAATGCATTTACAAATATAGGAAAAATATATGTTAAAATTACTTTTTTAATGTTAAAAAAAATCTGAAGAAAATATTTAAAAAATATATATTTTTAAAAATATTCTTCATATATTTTGTAATATACAGTATAAACAACCCATTTAAATATATATTTTATATATATATATATATATACACATATACATGTCCTAGTGGAAAGTGATGTTTGTTGGGTTTCTTGCTCTCTGTCCTCTTCTCTGATCAAAATTAGAATCAGCAGGTAAAGTCTGTTTGGTCTCTGAACTACTCTTGCTTAGGGTCCTTCTCTCACAGTTCTGTGGAGAACATAAGAATACACAAATCCTTTAAATGACAAGTTTAGGGGGAAGTTTTAGGTGGTTCAACACTTTAAATTTTTAGTTTTTTCTGTATTAAGGTAGAAAACCTTTATTAGCTGTTCCTCCCCCCCATTAGTGCTTACCTGAGCCCTTACTTGATCCAGCACTGTGTCCATCTGCAGCAGCACTGGTCTCTCTTCCCCTTCTCAGAGGACAGACTGAAAGCAGCGCTAGGCATTGCCTCCTGCTGCTGCTGTCAGTCAAATTCTGTGAGGAGGGGCCAAGCCATGCTGTGCGTGTCTATGGATGCACATAGCCTGGCTCAGGAGCGCAGTGGCATGGGAGCCTATGCAGTAAGTAGCTCGCTTTGGAGGCAGGAGGAGAAGACAGCCGACAACAATTTCTTTTTTTTTACAATGTGTGTGCTCTTGATCTGGAACAACCCATTATGCACTGCTTAGCCTGTGCTCATCAATAATGTGAAGGAATAGATAACCCCGCCCTCTCAAAAGTGTTGGCTCACAGCAGCCATATTATCAGTGTGTAGGAAGAGATAGGTCCTGTCCACATAGAGTTACTATCTGCATACCTTGTACAGGGCCGTATTTTCCTACACAGGTGTAGCGTGCTTCCATGTGCCTGAGTTCCATTGTTCTCTATTGGGACACACAGCTGCAGGTGAGCGCAGGTCCAGGAACCCACACCCGGAATTATTTTTCTGCATATGGTTATCAATATTAGTTAGGCTTTCCATTTACTTCCTGAAATATGCGAGGCAGATTTGCTGTGTGAGGAAGTATTTGGGGGAGAGCAGGTTCTGTGTGAGGAAGTATTAGGGGGAGAGCAGGTGCTGTGTGAGGAAGTAGAAGAGGGAGAGCAGGTGCTGTGTGAGGAAGTAGTTGGGGGGAGAGCAGGTGCTGTGTGAGGAAGTAGTAGGGGGAGAGCAGGTGCTGTGTGAGGAAGTAGTAGGGGGAGAGCAGGTGCTTTGTGAGGAAGTAGTAGGGGGAGATCAGGTGCTGTGTGAGGAAGTAGTAGGGGGAGATCAGGTGCTGTGTGAGGAAGTAGTAGGGGGAGATCAGGTGCTGTGTGAGGAAGTAGTAGGGGGAGAGCAGGTGCTGTGTGAGGTAGTAGGGGGAGAGCAGGTGCTGTGTGAGGAAGTAGTAGGGGGAAAGCAGGTGCTGTGTGAGGAAGTAGTAGGGGGAGATCAGGTGCTGTGTGAGGAAGTAGTAGGGGGGAACAGGTGCTGTGTGAGGAAGTAGTAGAGGGAGAGCAGGTGCTGTGTGAGGAAGTAGTAGAGGGAGAGCAGGTGCTGTGTGAGGAAGTAGTAGGGGGAGAGCAGGTGCTGTGTGAGGAAGTAGTTGGGGGGAGCAGGTGCTGTGTGAGGAAGTAGTAGGGGGAGAGCAGGTGCTGTGTGAGGAAGTAGTAGGGGGAGAGCAGGTTCTTTGTGAGGAAGTAGTAGGGGGAGATCAGGTGCTGTGTGAGGAAGTAGTAGGGGGAAAGCAGGTGCTGTGTGAGAAAGTAGTAGGGGAAGTGCAGGTGCTGTGTGAGGAAGTAGTAGAGGGAGAGCAGGTGCTGTGTGAGGAAGTAGTAGGGGGAGAGCAGGTGCTGTGTGAGGAAGTAGTTGGGGGGAGCAGGTGCTGTGTGAGGAAGTAGTAGGGGGAGAGCAGGTGCTGTGTGAGGAAGTAGTAGGGGGAGAGCAGGTGCTTTGTGAGGAAGTAGTAGGGGGAGAGCAGGTGCTGTGTGAGGAAGTAGTAGGGGGAGAGCAGGTGCTTTGTGAGGAAGTAGTAGGGGGAGATCAGGTGCTGTGTGAGGAAGTAGTAGGGGGAAAACAGGTGCTGTGTGAGAAAGTAGTAGGGGAAGAGCAGGTGCTGTGTGAGGAAGTAGTAGGGGGAGAGCAGGTGCTTTGTGAGGAAGTAGTAGGGGGGGGGATCAGGTGCTGTGTGAGGAAGTAGTAGGGGGAGATCAGGTGCTGTGTGAGGAAGTAGTAGGGGGGAGAGCAGGTGCTGTGTGAGGAGGAAGTAGTAGGGGGAGATCAGGTGCTGTGTGAGGAAGTAGTAGGGGGAGAGCAGGTGCTGTGTAAGGAAGTAGTAGGGGGAGATCAGGTGCTGTGTGAGGAAGTAGTAGAGGGAGAGCAGGTGCTGTGTTAGGAAGTATTTGGGGGAGAGCAGGTGCTGTGTGAGGAAGTAGTAGAGGGAGAGCAGTTGCTGTGCAAGGAAGTAGTAGGGGGAGTGCAGGTGCTGTGTGAGGAAGTAGTTGGGGGAGAGCAGGTGCTGTGTGAGGAAGTAGTAGGGGGAGAGCAGGTGCTGTAAGAAAAAGCAGTGGTATGGCTGGACAAACTGGAGGTGGAGCATATCTGCTTTTCCTTTTATAAAGTGGCCAACCCATACAGCCGCAGCCCGCTCAGGAAATAGCGGACAAATCCATCTACACCTACATCCTGGAAGGGGTAACATGAGGGGTGATCAAAGGGTTAACAGTGTGCTGGGTGTGTGTTACTAGGGGGGTGGTGTGTGTCTTTCACTGTGAGCACACTGCTATGCAGAGCCATACAAAGCAGTGTACAGGAGCTGACAGGGAACAGATCTCTATTGTTTACATACAGGTCTCTCCCCTGTCAGAAATCCTCAGAAAACGCTGGGTGTTGGCGGGAAATCACTGGCCAGGACCCGGTGATTGACAGTCTAGCGTGGGTAGGGCGCTTGCACATGCCCCCTGCCAGGAACTGCTAAATCATATATATATATTCATATATATATATGTATATATAGGCATTACAGTGGTTAGTAATTCTGCCTGACAGTACTAGGGTCACTGGTTTAAATCCCAACCACAGCACCATCTGCCTGAAGTTTGCATGTTCTCCCTGTGCCTGTGTGGGCTTCCTTCAGGAAATCAGATTTCCTCCCACACTCTAAAGACATGCTGGTAGGTTAATTGGCTCCTGTCTAAATTGGCCCTAGTATGTGTATGTATGAATGTGAGTTAGGGACCTTAGATTGTACGTCCCTTGAGGTTTAGGGACTGATGTGAATGTACAATATATATGTAAAGCGCGGCGTAAATTGACGGCGCTATATAAGTACCTGAAATAAATAATATACAAGTGATTTTGCGCATCTGTGCTGCCCTGTAGCAGTATTTCTGCTATAGGGTGAGCGGAAGTGGTTAATAAGTTTTCGTAAACAACTAAATCGAGCCGCGCAAGTGCTTGAATCATAAAAGTAATGCAGAAAACACTTTAACAGGATATCCTCTCCTAATAGCAAAAGTAAAAAAATTATACCTGGTGATCTCTTATAAATTAAACATAAATAATTCTTAAATATGCAGTTATGCAATAAATAATAGTGCTCTATATTGGACCCAAACACTGAACAATAAAGTACAAAATAATGATCAAAGTGTAAAATAATAAAAATAAAAAATAAAATCTTGTTGCTCACGTTTTCTTGAAATGTTTATAAATTAATAAAAACCATTGAAATACAAAAATGAAAAAAAAGTATAAAATAATAATCATATGTGTGACAGTCCCAATGAAGGTGTCCCCTTTTCCTTCCTTAAGTGTGAATGTTCCCAGATCCTCGTTCTGACTTGTGTGTCCACCACACACGCTGGGACAAAAATGAAAAACAAATAAGAGGTGCTTACGTTACTGTCCACCCTGCCACTGGAACAGACTTTTTTGCTGCTGTATCTCAGCTGTCAAATCTGTCATTTTTAGTGCAGGAAAGCACTTGCTTTGTGCCCACAAAATAATGATCAAAGTGTAAAATAATAAAAAATGAAAAAAAATAAAAATATTGTTGCTCACGTTTTCTTGAAATGTTTATAAATTAATAAAAACCATTGAAATACAAAAATGAAAAAAAAGTGTAAAATAATAATCATGTCTGTGACAGTCCCAATGAAGGTGTCCCCATTTTTTCCTTCCTTAAGTGAATGTTCCCAGATCCTCGTTCCGACTTGTGTGTCCACCACTGTGACCGCCACACTTGTGTGTCCACCCTGGGACTGGGACAAGAAATAAGAAGTTTACGTACTGTCCTGCCACTGGAACAGGTTTTTTTTTGCTGCTGTATCTCAGCTATCAAATCTGTCATTTTTAGTGCAGGAAAGCACTTGCTTTGTGCCCACAAAATAATGATCAAAGTGTAAAATAAAACAATAAAATATTGTTGCTCAGGTTTTCTTGAAATGTTTATAAATTAATAAAAACTATTGAAATACAAAAATTAAAATAAAAAAAAAGTGTAAAATAATAATCATGTGTGTGACAGTCCCAATGAAGGTGTCCCCTTTTCCTTCCTTAAGTGAATGTTCCCAGATCCTCGTTCTGACTTGTGTGTCCACCACACACCGCTGGGACAACAAATAAGATGCTTACGTACTGTCCTGCCACTGGAACAGATTTTTTGCTCATTTTTAGTGCAGGAAAGCACTTGCTTTGTGCCCACTGTAAAATCTCAGCTGTCAAATCTGTCATTTTTAGTGCAGGAAAGCACTTGCTTTGTGCCCCCAAATCATAAACCCTAATCATAAACCCAAGGTGACTACGCCCTGTCCTACCGCTGGTTCATTTCATCATGACAGCGTCTCCGATGCTACACTCTCATTTTCATTACTGGGAAACGCATTTCACATCTCTCCTGATTTAAGCCTCTTCTATTTGCTGTCCTACCTCTGGCCAACTTCTACTCAAGCATACATAGCCAGGTGCCAGCTACATCATTATGCATTCAGGGACATTATAGGTGAGACAATGATTAATCTTTTGCGCCCCCCCCCCCCTCCACTTGTGCCAAGGACTGGGACTGCTACATCACTTCCTGTTAGCAGAGTGGATACAGTTCTTCTGACAGCAGAGGATCTTGGGACCTGTAGTCCTATAGCCAATACATTTTGTATTCCTGAGTGCTGAGTGAACAACAACTACCAGAGAGCTGATGAACCACAAAGTTGCTGGGGGATATATTCTACAACAAGGGACTGGCTCGTTCTCTTGGATTCAGAGCTGAACACAGGGGGAGTGCCGTTCTCCTCCAGAGACTGATTGCTGGCTACTACTGTGGGACGCTGCATACCAGTTCAGCACAGCGTTGACACTGATCACCACACTGGGATTGCATCAGCTTCTCTGCATCAGGACTGTCTGGCTTTCACTGTGCACTGCGCTGCGCTGACAGGCCATCAGGTGGTAACTCTCTGCAAACAGCCAGGAGCCTGTGCAAGAACCCTGTTCCTAGGAGGCTGTGTTATCCATGGGAATGGTGAGAAGGCGGATGCCCAACCTCTTTCGGTCATCCTTCTAGCCGCTTACGGGCCGCCCTATAGCAGATATACTGTGACAGGGCGGCACCTGTACATGATTTTGCATTTCCAGGTAGGGGGCGCATGTGAGCCCCTGCGCCACCATGGATGTCAATCACCGGGTCCTGGCCGGTAATTACCCGCCGGCATGCGGTGATTACTAAGCATCTCCGACGGGGAGGAAGATTGTTTTGCTTACAATCTTCCTACCTGTCAGCTCAAGCACACTGCTTGGGACGGCTGTGCACAGTACAGCTATCCTGATCAGTGTGCTTACAGTGAAGCACACAGACACCACTACCGAGTAAAACACTCCCAGCACACAGTTAACCCTTTGATAGCCCCTCACATTAACCCCTTCCTGCCCAGTGCCATTAGTACAGTGTCAGCGCTTTTATTTTTTAAGTACTGATCACTGTATTGATGTCACTGGGGTGTCAGTGACACCAAGTCAGTTCCCCCCAGTGTCAGAATGTACCCCGCAGTCCCACTAAAAGTCACTGATTACTAGTAGAAAAAAAAAAAAAAAATCCCATTATCTATACCGCCATTTGTGCACGCTATAACTTTCACGTAAACCAATTAATTTACAGGTATTGGGATTTTTGTTTTAGCAAAGACATGGAGCAGAATACATTCTGGCCTAAATTTATGATGAATTTGATTTTTTACATTTTTTTCTGGACATGTTTAATAGCAAAAATATTGGGGTTTTTTTTTTGTTTATAGCGCAATAAATAAAAAAATGCAGAGGCGATCAAATACCACCGAAAGAAAGCTCAATTCATGGAAGAAAAGGACGTAAATGTAATTTGGGTGCAGCGTTGCATGACCGTGCAATTGTTGGTTAAAGTAAGGCAGCACTGTAACGCAACAAATGGCCTGATCGAGAAGGGGGGGAATCCTCAGGAGAGCAAGTAGCTAGAGACACTGCCTACAGACACCTGTGCAGTGGAGACATGTTCTCTGGAGTGACCAATCACGCTTCTCTGTCTGGCAATCTGATGGAGGTGTCTGGGTTTGGCGGTTTCCAGGAGAACGGTACTTTCCTGACTGCATTGTGCCAAGTGTAAAGTTTGGTGGAGGGGGGATTATGGTGCGGGGTTGTTTTTCAGGGGTTGGGCTTGGCCCCCTAGTTCCAGTGAAGGGAACAATTAAGGCGTCAGCATACCAAGACATTCTAGACAATTTCATGTTCCCAACTTTGTGGGAAGAGTTTGGGGATGGCCCCTTCCTGTTCCAACATGACTGCACACCAGTGCACAAAGCAAGGTCCATAAAGACATGGAGGAGCCAGTTTGGGGTGGAGGAACTTGACTGTCCTGCACAGAGTCCTGACCTCAACCCCATAGAACACCTTTGGGATGAATTAGAGCGGAGACTGTGAGCCAGGCCTCCTCCCCCGACATCAGTGCCTGACCTGACAAATGTGCTTCTGGAAGAATGGTCCAACCTTCCCATAGACACCCTCCTAAACCTTGTGGACGGCCTTCCCAGAAGAGTTGAAGCTGTTATAGCTGCAAAGGGCGGGGCCAACTCAATATTGAACCCTACCGACTAAGACTGGGGGGCCATTAACCCCTCGCCTGCCGGGCACTTATACCCCCTTCCTGCCCAGGCAAATTTTCTGCTTTCTTTTGGTGGTATTTAATCACCTCTGGGGTTTATTATTTGTTAAACAATACTAAAAAAAAGTTTTTTTCTAAGTTTCTGTTATAAAATTTTGTAAATAAGTAATTTTTCTCCTTCACTGATGTGTGCTAATGAGGCTGCACTGATAGGCACTGATGGGTACTGACAGGCATCATTGATGGACACTGAAAGGCAGCACTGATGGGCAATATGTGGCACTGATAGGCAGCAATGATGGGTGGCACTGATGGGCATTGACAGTCATCCTGATGGGCACTAAAAGGCAGCACTTATATACAGCACTGATAATTGGCACTGCTGGGCACTGATATGCATCACTGATAGGTGTCACTGACTGACATCACTGACATGGCACTGATAGTTGGCACTGAAAGGCAGCTATGATGATGTGGCATTGATGTGTCCTGATAGGCACCGATATGTGGCATTGATGGGCCCTGGTATGTGGCATTGATGGGCACTGATAGGCACTGATGTGTGGCATTGATGTGCACTGATATGTGGCATTGATGTGCACTGGTATGTGGCATTGATGGGCACTGATATGTGGCACTGATGGGCAGTGATATGTGGCACTGATGGGCAGTGATATGTGGCACTGATGGGCACTGCTAAGTGGCACTGATATGTGACATTGATGTGGCATTGATGGGCACTAATATATGGCATTGATGGGCACTTATGGTCACTGGTATGTGGCACTGATAGGCACTGATAAGTGGCATTAATGGGCACTTATGGGCGCTGGTATGTGAAATTGATGGGCACTGATATGTTACATTGATGGGCACTAAGTGGCACTGATATGTGACAGTGATGGGTACTGATAAGTGACATTGATGGGCACTGGTATGTGGCACTGCTAAGTCGCATTAATGGGCACTCATGGGTGCTGATATGTGGCATTGATGGGTACTGATATGTGGCATTGATGGGTACTGATATGTGACATTGATGGGCACTGATAAGTGGCACTGATATGTGGCATTGATGGGCACTGATAAAGTGGCATTGATGGGCACTGGTATGTGGCACTGATGGGCACTAATACAGTATGTGGCATTGATGGGCACTTATGGGCACTGGTATGTGGTAGTGATGGGCACTGATGTGTGGCATTCATGGACACTGATAAGTGACACTGATGGGCACTGATAAGGCATTGATAAGCACTGGTATGTGGCACTGATGGGCACTTATGAGCACTAATACAGTATGTGGCATTGATGGGCACTGATATGTGGCATTGATGGGAACTGATATGTGGCGTTGATGGGCACTGATATGTGGCGTTGATGGGTATTTATGGGCACTGATATGTGGCATTTATGGGCACTGATATGTGGCATTGATGGGCACTGATAAGTGGCATTGATGGGCACTGATATGTGGAACTGATGGGCACTGATAAGTGGCATTGATGGGCACTGATATGTGGTATTGATGAGCACTTATGGGCACTGGTATGTGGCATTGATGGGCACTGATATGTGGTTCTGATGGGCACTGGTATGTGGCATTGATGGGCACTGGTATGTGGCATTGATATGTGGTACTGATGGGCACTGATATGTGGCACTGATATGTGGCATTAATGGTCACTGATATGTGGCACTGATGGGCACTGGTATGTGGCATTGATATGTGGTACTGATGGGCACTGATATGTGGCACTGATATGTGGCACTGATGGGCACTAATATGTGGCACTGATGGGCACTGATATGTGGTACTGATGGGCACTGATTTTTAGCATTGATGGGCCCTGATATGTGGTACTGATGGGCACTGATATGTGGCACTGATATGTGGCACTGATGGGCACTGGTATGTGGCACTGATATGTGGTACTGATGGGCACTGATATGTGGCATTGATGGGCACTGATATGTGGCATTGATGGGCACCGGTATGTGGCATTGATGGGCACTGATATATGGTACTGATGGGCACTGGTATGTGGCATTGATGGGCACTGATATGTGGTACTGATGGGCACTGGTATGTGGCATTGATGGGCACTGATATGTGGCATTGATGGGCACTGGTATGTGGTACTGATGGGCACTGGCATGTGGCATTGATGGGCACTGGTATGTGGCATTGATGGGCACTGGTATGTGGCACTGATGGGCACTGGTATGTGGCATTGATGGGCACTGGTATGTGGCATTGATGGGCACTGATATGTGGTACTGATGGGCACTGATATGTGGCATTGATGGGCACTGGTATGTGGTACTGATGGGCACTGGTATGTGGCATTGATGGGCACTGGTATGTGGTACTGATGGGCACTGGTATGTGGCATTGAGGGCACTGGTATGTGGCATTGATGGGCACTGGTATGTGGCATTGATGGGCACTGGTATGTGGTACTGATGGGCACTGGTATGTGGCATTGAGGGCACTGGTATGTGGCATTGAGGGCACTGGTATGTGGCATTGATGGGCACTGGTGTGTGGCATTGATGGGCACTGATATGTGGCATTGATGGGCACTGGTATGTGCCATTGATGGGCACTGATATGTGGTACTGATGGGCACTGGTATGTGGCATTGATGGGCACTGGTATGTGGCACTGATGGGCACTGGTATGTGGCATTGATGGGCACTGGTATGTGGTACTGATGGGCACTGGTATGTGGTACTGATGGGCACTGGTATGTGGCATTGATGGGCACTGGTATGTGGTACTGATGGGCACTGGTATGTGGCATTGATGGGCACTGGTATGTGGCATTGATGGGCACTGATATGTGGTACTGATGGGCACTGGTATGTGGCATTGATGGGCACTGGTATGTGGCACTGATGGGCACTGGTATGTGGCATTGATGGGCACTGGTATGTGGTACTGATGGGCACTGGTATGTGGTACTGATGGGCACTGGTATGTGGCATTGATGGGCACTGGTATGTGGTACTGATGGGCACTGGTATGTGGCATTGATGGGCACTGGTATGTGGCATTGATGGGCACTGGTATGTGGTACTGATGGGCACTGGTATGTGGTACTGATGGGCACTGGTATGTGGCATTGATGGGCACTGATATGTGGTACTGATGGGCACTGGTATGTGGTACTGATGGGCACTGGTATGTGGCATTGATGGGCACTGATATGTGGTACTGATGGGCACTGGTATGTGGTACTGATGGGCACTGGTATGTGGCATTGATGGGCACTGGTATGTGGTACTGATGGGCACTGGTATGTGGTACTGATGGGCACTGGTATGTGGCATTGATGGGCACTGGTATGTGGTACTGATGGGCACTGGTATGTGGCATTGATGGGCACTGGTATGTGGCATTGATGGGCACTGGTATGTGGTACTGATGGGCACTGGTATGTGGTACTGATGGGCACTGGTATGTGGCATTGATGGGCACTGGTATGTGGCATTGATGGGCACTGGTATGTGGCATGATGATGGGCTGATGGGCACGGATGGGCACGGATAGAGCTGTGCTGATGATCAGTGTAGATGTCCCCTCTGCGGAATGTCGCTGACTGGCTCTCCTCTCCTCCAGCACTGTCAGCGTGAGGAAAGGAGTGCCGATAATCATCATTTCCTTGTTTACATGCGATCAGCTGTGATTGGACAGAGCTGATCACGATATAGCCTACGCCATTGGCTCTTTACTGCGATCGGTGATCCGCTGCATCCCAGGGACACAACGCACCACCTATCACCGCACCTGTGC